CTCAAACCTACTCCACATCAGCTCTTATGGTCTGCCTAAACTCCTTTTGGAGGCTTCACAAGCAACCCAAGAATGTTGTGTAAGCTTTTGGCTCAATCAATTGAGGCACCTAAAAGGTCACCTCATGAAAAGTGGCCAATGGCCTCTTCCCCCTTCCAACAACCCTCCTGCACAAAAGCTTAGCTCCTTTCCACTTATTAGCCATCTAAGAAGAAGCCAAATTAATCCTAGCTATTGCTTCGAGAATGGGAACCTAAAGTAGGACAAAATCTATCATTCCTCCTCATTTCAAATCAAGTGCACCTCTAGTTCCCCTCCACGAAGAGAAGATGTTTCTGGAGCTCTAAGGAGGAGATCAACTAGTCATTCCAAGTCTTCTAGAATCAATTCCACCAAGGTAAAATACAAAAACCTAGCTTCTTGATCTAGAATTAAATGGTTTTATGTTTGATGTATTTTTGAACTCAAAAATATCTCCTGACTTCTTCTTTAATCATGCTTTATCTCTTCCTAAAATTTCATGCCATTTTCACCAAACATTAAGTTTGAAAACTTTCTTATGTTTAGGATTTTTGGTCATTCATGTGAAGAAGATGAAATCATAGCTCTTTATTTTGTTTGCATGGGTTTGAAGAGCTATGATTTTGCCACAATTTCATGCAAAATTGTTATGTATGAACCATTATAATTCTACATTATGATTCAAATCATATTATATGATCATCCCTTCATACAGTAAGGTTTTCCACACATAAATTATATGTTACCACCCCTGGCTGACCTGTGGCACGTATTAATGGACAATGATTGACTGTCAAAAAATTAGGATTAAAAATTAAGAATAAATTAAAAAAATGGCTAAAACATAAAAAAATGATTAAAATTTTATTTCTCACCAAAATTTGGACTTCTTGAGTTTGCTGAACCTAGGTTGAGCTTAACTTTGCTTTAAAATTATTTTAAAAATATTTTGGACATTATATAGAGAGTTATTACAGTTTTAATGTTTGTGGTTTTCCCTTAATTACTCCCTAAATAATTGTCCATTTGAGCTCAAATTTGGGCAGTAGATATTAGGGCATGTATACAACATCCCCTAATTTAAATGAGCTTTGGTGAGTAATATATTTATGGTTGTTGAGTTTCTAAGGTTTTGGGTCATAATTTGACCCAAAGTTTTAAAAATTCATTACATATAATAGGTTATGAAACTCCTATAGTTTATGTATATTGCTTGAAGGGTTAGACACATCAGATTTTAAGCCCAAATGAATAGTAGAGACATTTATAAAAAATAATTTAGAAGATTATCTAGATAACTTAAAAAAACTATAGAAAATTCTCCTTGTATATAATAAGGATGAAACTTGAACATAGCACACTTAGTGACATAATGAACCATAGTAATTAATTTCACAATAATTAGAATTTAATAAGAACATTAATTAATTAACCATTGCCAAAATCAGCCTTTATATTAGGGATAATTTTTTAAAAAATCATAATAAATTCAAATTAAATCCAAAAACTACAAATTATTTAACAAATGAAAATTAAAAGCCCAATCACAAATCCTTAAAATAAAAAGTAATTTAAAATAAAAAATTATTAATTAATTAAAAATAAAGAATTAAATATTAAAACTACCAAAATAATTTAAACACTTATTAGGAAATAGGAACCAAAAAATAAAATTAATTAAATAATAAATAATATTAATTAAATAATAAGATAATTGCTAGGTAGCTCGGACCCACGAGTCTATTAAATTATCCTTAAAGAGGGTGTAATAAATCTCACGGCCCTGGTATAAATAAATACAATTACTACTCAACATAAATAGGTAATTGATAAATCATTAGTTAATTGAATCAATTTAAAATCAACAAAAAAATAAAATAAAAAAATAAAAGATAATTTTTGGTAACCCGAGCTTACGAGACTATTAAATTAGCTCCAAAGAGGGTGAAATATACCTCATGACCTAGATGTAAATAACGACAAGTATTATTTAACTTAAATAATTAATAATAAATCATTAATAAACTAAAACTTTCATACCCTTTTCTTGATTCTATTCAAAGAACAAAGGTGTATTGGATTGGAAAGCTTAAGAACTAAAACACTTATTAAAAATCAGAGACTTCAAAGAATTAATAATTAATCAAAATTAACATTTAAAACTCATTTTAAAATAAACTTAAAAATATTAAGACTTAAACTCAAAATAAATTTCCCCTAACCTAAAACAAACTAAAAGTTTTAGAAAATTTCAAACAACAACTACTCAGGACACATCCAAACTGCACAGACTGGTCGTTGTTCTTTCATGCGATGTGTTTACTATTTTTTATGCGTAATAAAGAAGATTGGTGAGTGATGAGTGCTAATTATTATATTTTTATGCAATAAATCTGATGATGTTTATGCTTTGATGGTTTTGCTATGATTTTTTTCTCCGTTGATCTGTTATGGGAGTTTAAATTTTCCTAGGTTAGGAATGATCTTGATATTAACAGTTTTTTTGCTGGAGGTCATGCTTATGTAGGATTATAAAAGGGGGCTAATTGAAATATGAATTAACCAAAAATTTTTGTAGATGCTTTTGTAGCTTAGGCCCCTAAAAAAATTAAAAGCATGCCAAGCTATTATTTTTACTCAAAAGTAAGTAATTGATTACATATTTGTGCTTGGGATTTTTATGATTGATTTTATATAAATTGCATAGAATAACCTACAGGGTGTACAAAGCTTTTTAATTTTCTCAAATGCAAATGTAATTTAAAATGAGTTGTGAAAGTTAATTGAAGTGAAGCAGTTCCTATATCCAATTTGAAATCCAAAGAAGAAGAAGACATCCCTTAGGGAAGAGTTCCTTCCATTTGGAGCTCTAAATTTTGATAATTTGGGATCTAAAGAGGAAAGAAAAACCCCTAAAATGGGACTGTTTCTTTCCATTTAGAGATCCAGATCTAACGGACCCAAGGATCCTGAAGAAGAAAGCCGAAGAAATGAAGATAAAAAATGCTTCACTTTAAAAGAACTTGCGTCATTATTTGAAAATTCGGGTTGTTGTTGATGAAGATTGGCCACCATTACATTCTGCATACCCTTGTTCGTAATTAAGTAGCATTGGCCACATGGCCTCTAATTCATATTATTTAATTTAATTTTATATTTATAAGTTTTTTAAAACTATTTATACATTAGAAATTGCCTATTTTATAGCTTTTTTCTTACATGTTCTATTTTATCATGGATTTCACTAGACCCATAAGGAAAAAAAAATCTTCTACTTATAACTAAATAAAATAAATTAAGCTCATATAGAAAGATAAACATTCCAAATAAGAGTCAGAGCACGTATGGAATTCTCATGCATTCATACCTTTCTTCTCTCCTTGTTAAGCACTTCCCCGCCTGTGAGTCATGGCAAACTAGCTGATCTATTAGCGCATAGTTCTATCTACGATATGTTGTGATCTTTAGAGGAAAAAATCTATTTTTTATACCTAATTTTAAAAGTTCAAATATATCATTTTTATATAAAGAGTTCATTTATAGGCATTGCATTAGAAATAATTATAAGTTAATTAAAATTTAATTACATCAAGCATGATTATACCACTCATAAGAAAATGATCTTGTTTTTCTTATTTAAAAATAACCAGTCCGAGTTTTATTATAATTCTTGTAAGTGGCAAGAAGCTCCTCTCTTTTATTAAATATGACATTAATAATTATAAAATCATAAGCTAAAATTAAATCAAATATGATCCTACCACATTCATTAGTCTCTCTAAACTCATAGCCATCATGAATATTTTTAAAATCTCCTACCACTATATCAACATGTCCATTTAATTCTTCTCCAATAAATTTTTTTCTTCAAGAGTTATCCTTTGTATTAATTCTTTTATGACATTCCAAAATTTTATTGAACATATATCCAAATCTACTTGAAGAGTATAAACAATTATAGTATTTATAAACTTAGCATCAACAATAATATTTAAAGTTATAATTACATCTTCAATTCTATTAATTTTTATAATATTTTACTTCAAACTTTTATCTATAATCACATCCATACCATTTTTAATACTCAAAAGAAATAAAACTTCTAGTACATAGAATAATTATAGTACTCAAAACAATCTTTTTTTCATGTATTGTTTAACAAAATATCCATATAAATATATTGTTTTTAATTAGATTATAAGTGATATCTAATATAAAATTTAGCTCATGAACCAAATAATTTAATGATGTTACTACTATGAGAATCTAATTTAATTCTAATGGGTAATTTCAGCCTCCCTTGCTTGTTTTGTTTGCCTTTAATATTTTTATTTTGAGTTGGTCTTAATATGATAGTACACTACATTTTCCTAGTTTAATAAATTTTTTTTTTTGCATGCTTGAATAATCCTAATGATGAAGCTATTCCTAGGTTAACTTCATTTAAAACCATCTATTCAAATTTCTTAGTTTAATTTGTGACCATCAAAATCTAACATAAGTTTGAGTTCATGAAGTCAACAGCTTTAGCCAAACTCATCATATATTCTCTACAACTTTGCCAATTAATAAAACCTTGAATCAATTGATTTTCTTTTGCTCACACCCAAATGCCCTCCTTAGGGATTGGATGGCATGGATTCCAATTTTCCTTCTAACTCCTCTTCAAAATTGGGAATTTACTTCAGATATGAACTACGGGTGTAAGTGAGCCAAGCTAGCTCATGAGCCGGCTCGAAATCAACTCGTTAACAAACTTGCGAGCCGAGCTAATTGAGCTCGAGCTCAAGCCTATAATAGAGCTCGTTTAATTAATGAGCTTAAGTTCGAGCTTAAACTGGCTTGACTCGAAAGCTTATCAAGCTACTCGATTAAATTGTATATATTTATATGCTAATATATTATAATTATGATATTATTATTTTTAAAATACTTTTAAAGGTTTATTGCTAAAAACCATACCCATAAGGCCTTGGGGACATAACCCGCGCACGCTTTTTTCATTTTTTTTCTTCGCCTCAATGCCTCCTGACGCCCTAGCTTCAAGTCGTGCCCTCCGTCTCTCGTCTCTCCCGCTTCTTCGGTTCATTTAACCCCATAGAAGCCAAGCTCCCAGGTCCGAGCCATCCAACCCTCTTACACGCCATAGCCGTGCAAAGACCCCGCCTAGGTCCGGGGCTCTCTCACGCAACTGCAGTCGACTCCTTGTAATTTCTTTTTCCTTCTTTCCCTTCTTCCTCCTCTTCCTTCTTTAGTTCTTGCCCTTCATTTTTCTTTCTATGTTGATTTCTCATATCTCACACAACTACAGCCATCAGATCTGTTATTTATGCTTCATGTTGATAACTTGAATTTTCCTTTCATTATGTTACGGTATTTGTTCATATTTATAGTAGATTATCATGCTTTAGGAAAAAAAGGGTGATGATGCTGGCATGTTGTGATAATTTATGAATTTTATATTTGTATTCTCCATGATTAATTGCAACTTCTGAGAAGATATTCTTGTCCCAACTAGCCAAAGTTTGTTTTGCTTTGTATATGGGTCTATAACAATAAAACACTAGGGCTTTTGTTTGTAAATTTACAAAGCTAGCTTTCTAAAAGCTTGTTTAATCCATGTGTTTCTATGATGTACTCATTTGTTACTGCATCATTATTTCAATTTAATTTTCATAACTATATTTTCATATCATATGTATTTTTAATTATTCCAAATATTATTATTTTAATTAATATTTCTCCTAACATATATTGGATATATTATTTTTATTATTCGTCTGTACTAATATTTCAAAAAAAAAAATCATATTCTAGTCTGTTGAAGACTTTAGGTCAGATTAGATTAGAATTTATTATAAATGAAATTTGTATTTTTTACTTTTTTTTGAGTTTGAGAGTTTGTGATGTAATTGGAAAATCGTGCACACACACACTAGGGAAGAGTTAAAACTTGTAAATTTTTTTAAACTAATCGTATTGTATGATTTCTAATCGTACGGGGTAATTTTTCCAATTAGTTCCTCTAGTAAGCAGTTAATAAAATCTTTGATGGAAAAATTTTCTAAGTATTGTTTGTACTATACGAAGTTTCCTTCGTGCAGACGAAGTCCAGAGTACAAAATCGATGTGAACATTTTTGTCCACATGAATAGGTTAATTTTTTTAATTGTTTGCCCGGGACGATCTTGCCTTCATATAGACGATGTATAGAGTATAAAAAAGATGCAAACATTTTCATCCATACGAAAAGGAAAAATTTTTTAACTATTCGTTCAGGATGATTTTGTCTTCGTACAAATGACGTCAAGAGTATGAAATTGATGCAAACATTTTCGTCCATACGAACAGGAATTTTTTTTGAATTGTTCATCCGAGACGATATAGATTTGTACTATATGATGATCATGCACAAAAATATTTTGTATAGGATTGTAAGAGCAAACTTTGAACTATTCGTACGTACAATTATCAATCGTACTTTATGATCTGGGATAGTTAAAATTAAAATTTTTCAGTTTTCTGAACGGTTTTTTGTGTCTCTCAAATATAGGTTCTTAAAACTGACTAAGGACGAATCCTTCTTCATTTTTCTTGAGAGCAAAAGTGTAAGAATGATTTGGGAGAGTGTTGAAAGAGATTTATTGTAAATTGAGAGTGTGAAAGGTTCACAAGGTTACTCAAAGGTGAGATTCTGTTAGTATTTGTAGCAAATCTCTTTTTTACTTCTTTAAAGACGCTCGAGGGAAGATCTTTGAAGAAGATCTGGCTCTCAGCAGACACTTGGAGAGTGAAAGGATGTCAGTTCTCTACTGACAATATGAGGATGTGAAAGGACGCCGGTTCTCTGCCGACACCAGGGTGTGAAAAGTTGTCGATTCTCTACCGACATCAGGAGGGTGTGAAAGGACGTCGATTTTCTGCCAACACTTGAAGAGTGTGAAAGGACGCTGGTACTCTGCCGATGCTTGGAGGGTGTGAAAGGATGACAGTACTCTGCCGTACCGGGATTTGGTGGAAGAGAAGGTAATTGTAAAGGCTTCTTCGCCTTGTTGTGGGAGTAAAAGGAGAGTCACTTTGGTAATAGTGCAATACCTGAAAAGGGGGTCTTCAGGGAGTGAACATAGGTCTTGTTGGACCAAACCACTATAAATTACTGTGTTTTTTTTTTACATTTCTGCATTTTTATTTTTCCTGCAATGTTAATTCTATGGTTATGGAGCATAGGTTGCGGCATGATACTAATGCTTCTCAAAATCAATTTGGATTCATGCCGGGTAGGTCGACTATGGAAGCCATACATTTATTAAGAGGTTTGATGAAGAAATATAGAGAAAATAAGGAGGATCTACATATGATATTTATTGATTTAGAAAAAGCATATGATAAAGTTCCAAGAGAAGTGCTATGGAGAGTTCTTGAAAAGAAAGGAGTCAATAATGCTTATATTCAAATCATTAAAGATATGTATGCAGGAGTTATTACTTGTGTTCAAACACAAGGTGGATTGTCCAAGTATTTCCCTATTTCGGTTGGGTTACATCAACGATCAGCCTTAAGCCCATATCTTTTTGCTTTAGTCTTAGATGTTCTCACTAGACATTTGTAAAAGTATGTACCTTGGTGTATGCTTTTTGCTGATGATATTCTTCTTGTTGATAAGACTAGAGAGGTAGTTGAAGGTAAACTTGAATTATGGAGGTCAACCTTAGAGTCTAAAGGTTTTCGCTTGGGTAGATCTAAAACGGAATATATGGAGTGTAATTTTAGTAGTAATAGACCTAGAGATGGGTTTGTGACTTTGGGCGATCAAATCATTAATAAGAGTACATGTTTTAGATATCTTGGATCTATTGTTCAGAGTGATGGTGAAATAGATGGGGATATTATCAGCAGAATTCAAGTTGGATGGTTGAAGTGGAGGAATGCATCGTGCTTGTTATGTGGTAGAAATGTACCCCTCAAACTTAAGGGAAAATTCTATAAGATGGTAGTGAGGCTTGCAATGCTTTATCGTGCCGAATGTTGGCCATTAAAAGAGAAGCATAATACTAAGTTAAGTGTGGCAGAGATGAGGATGCTCAGGTGGATGAGTGGCTTTACCCTTAGAGATATGATACGAAATGAGCATATACGTGGAAAGGTTGGAGTAGCACCAATAGAAGATAAGATTAGAGAGAATCGCCTTAGATGGGTTGGTCACATAAAACGGCGGCCTTCCGATGACCTGGTTAGGAGAGTAGAGGTATTAGATTTGACTTATGTTAAGAAAGGTAGGGGTAGACCTAAAAAGACTTGGTTAGAAAATATTAGGAATGGCCTTTCTTTATTAGATTTAAACGAGAATTTGACTTTTAATAGGATATAATGGAGAAAATTGATTCATGTAGCCGACCCCACGTAGTGGGATAAAGGCTTGATGTCGTTGTTGTCGTCGTCGTTGTTGTTAATTCTATGGTTGAAAAATTTTATTTTGTTAAAACTTAAATTGTGCAAATAATTTTATAAAATGGTTTTCATAAATTTCCAAGAAAAATTTAAAAAAACTAATTCATCCCCCTCTTAGATAACATTGGGACAACTGCTATAGGTCTAACAACCTATACGAACTTTTCAATCATTTTTTGATTGCCAGTTGAATCATGAAAATCTGTATAACTTTAAAGTCTAAGATGTATCACTCAATTGCTGTTGTTTTCATATTTAAAGGTGGTCAACTTCTTTTGTTACTGCATCTTTTCTGTGATGTTTTTGGTTTCGATTGAAATAAAACTTTTGTCAAGATTTATAACTGTTGTGTGGATGGTTATCCTTCTCTTTTGGTGACGGGCAATACTTTAACTGCTGATTTGTATGAAAAGCAAATTCATGTTGTAGTTTGCTAATTAGCTCCTTAACATTGTTGATGTTCATTACAATACTTTTCTAACTTAGTATTCTCATGCTATTATCATTTTTTTAAAATGTCAACACTAATAAGTATGGAAGGAGATAATATTGAGCCTATAAATACTGAGACTAGAAGACTTAATGATCATCTTCGCTCTTTTGTTGATAGTCAACCTGAAAATGAGAATGATATACATAATGATGACAATGAGATTGACGAAGATGTTGAAAAGTGGACTAATGAAAATCAAGTGAATTGTATTGAAGAAGCTGATGATATTATAGAAATAAATAAAAGAAAAAAGATCCAAAGTTTGGGATGAGTTTAAGGAAGTTATTCTTCCTGCTGGGCAAAGAAAAAGAGAATGTGTGCATTGTAAAAAACAACTACTTATTGAAGTTACTGGTGCAACATCACAATTTAAAAGACATTTGGATCGTTGTGCTCTTAGGATTCATGCCTTAAAAAAAATATAAAATCTTACATTTTCAACAAACAGATCTAGAGAACTCATTTTCTCAGAGCAGTCAAGAATATGATCATGAAAAAGTGAGGGAGATGGTAGCACATTGCATACTAATTAATGAGAAACCATTTTCGTTTGTTGAAGAATTTGGATTCAATTTAATTTTAAAATCTATTTCACTTTTTTTTGTTAAGCTCTACTTTGCATCCAAATTTTGATAAATTGATTTCCTCTTGCTTTGACAAAATTTGATATATTGATTTAATATAAGAAACATTCATCGATTTTTGTAGTGCAAACTATCAATTGTTACAATCTCTTTGTTGTACGATTTCATTTTAACATGAGGTGGAGAGCTTCTCCTAAATCATCTTTATTTGGAAATGTAATTTCCACCATTTAAATTTTACCAAGTCTTGATAAATTGTTTTGCTAACTATTTCAAGATTTAAGATTTACGAGTGGAAGATATCCTTAAATCCAATAATTCTTGTGGACAAAGTTTATCTCAATTTACTCTTTCAGTTTTATTCTTTTGAAAAAATTCAGGTTGGTCTTGCTATTCATAATATTGCAGTTGTTAAATGCATTTTCCACTTTGATTATTATTTAGCTTTTCTCTTAATTTTTCAGGTTTGCATCATATTAGTTGGTACTAGAGAGCAGAGCTGGAAGAGTTTGAAGAATTTGAATTATCAGATAGAAAAAGGAAAAATAGTTTTACCTTTTGTTGAGTTTTTATTTTTTATTACATCATGAAACTTCTTAATGGGTTGTATAATTCCAATTACTTTTTTTGTAATGATGTGATGATATGCAATTTGGTCTAATTTTGATATGAATGCTCTTTTCCATATTTATCAAGTTTTAATTGTATTTAATTGCATAAAAATTGCACTTGATATTGATCATTTTTTTAAATAAAATTTTTTAAAGAAAGATGATTGCTCATTATATATTGATTTCTTTTACAATTAATTTGTTTTTTAAGAAATTAAAAGGTAAAGTTGTGTATATTTTATGATTAGTTAAGTTATTTTTCATAATTTAAAATAAATTTAAATTAAGTGTTAGAAAAAAAAATTTAAAATTTTGGTTTATAATTGAAGAATCAAGCCAATCAGCTTGAGTTCGAGCTTTTCAAACGAGCTCGAGCTTTCGAGTTGAGCTTGAGCTTTTGAGTCGATCTCGAGCTTGGTATTTTCTAAACAAGTCGAGCTCGAGCTTATTAATCAAGCTCAGTTCGAGCTAATTGAGGGTTAAACGAGCCAGATTTGATAAGACATTTGACTCGACTTGTTTACACCTCTATATGAACAACACATCCAATGCGATTAAGAACTTTTATCTTCTTTCAATTACCTCTGCCAAATACCATCTTTGAAGTGAAAGAAATGAGAATATTCAGCTATAGAGAAACTAATTTACCATCTTCCATTTTTCAGATTAGGAGTGCATTATGCACCAAATTGAAAAGATGAAAGCAAACCTAAAACATTTAAGATTAATTTGGAATGTATACAATATTTTGTAAAATTAACTATATAATTATTATAAAAATAATTTAACTAATCTTTACAAAAATAACATCTCATTAGAATTTAAAAAAATAATAAGAAGAAAAAATAAGAAAAATAAAAATCAAAACAAAATTATGACTATTATCTGAAAAATTAAATAAATAAACTCTTAAACATTTTCTAGCTTGACGCTAGTTCCCTTTTTTTTTTTTTTTTTTTTATAGCTTGACGCTTGTTTCATGATTGTTGCAATAAGTAGTTGTGTTCTTTTAAAGCGTGATTTGGCTCTAAATTTTCTGTGTCTTTTGGAAGAGCTCCTTGCATGCTTTCGTTTGTTCATTCTCTTGCTCTTTCATGTTTTAGGCAGCCATATGCAAACACTTAGACTTCGTTTGAGACAACTTTCTTTCTACTTCTTAAAATAATTTTTTAATACAAAAATTAAATTTTTACACTAAAAAATTACTTTAAAAAGCATTAAAAAAATCATCCCAAACGAAACCTTAGACTTCATTTGAAACAACTTTTTTAATGATTTTTAAAACAGCTTTTTAGTCTAAAAATTTTTTAAACTTAAAACTTCTTACTAAAAAAAAAATTACTATTGAAATTATTAAGAAAGATGCCCCAAATAAACCTCAATTTTTCTTGGGCTCTCTTTTGATTAGCCAATGCTCACTTGACCTTTTCTAAGTTTTTAAATTCAATCTATGAAATGTGAAATCAAATACATTTTATATCAAATAAAATCAAAGCAAAACAAACCAAAAAAACAAAAACATTAAACCAAACCATGTGCTTACTTTCCAGGGAGAACCATTCAATGACTTTTCATCTCCTATCCGACAACTTGAAAGGTTCAACTGGTCGTCTTATACTTTCAATCGCGCACAATTGTAACATTTCTATAATCAGATAACAAAGTTTCCTGAAGTTGTTCTATCAGAGTGGATTTCCTAATATAAGTATGCAGTAAACCAACATGAAGATAATAGAAGTGTTTAGACTCACGGAATATCACTTGTAAGGCTCATTAATGAATGCATCCCAGTATATTACAGGATGGAGTGCCAACTTGGCTTTCGGGTCTTTCTCCTGAAGGGCCTGCAGGTCTCCATGCTAAGGTCTACAGCTGCTGCGACGGCCATGAAGATGGCTGCATCTTCCACACAGGTTACATGCCTCATTGCAAGCTGCACAATTGGCCTGCTGCTCTTCCCCTCCCCTTGAACTCTGCAGTTCATAACAAATCCACATGAACCTGCAGCAACCCCTGTTGTAGCAGCAGAGGCATGGTCACCTTCGGCGGCCCGATGATGTTGGCTTTGAGCTGGCATACTGACTGGTGTTTTCCTATCCAAGTCTATGTAAAATTCACCTCCCTTTTCAGCACTTAACATTACCTCTGACACAAGTACACCAGCATCTTGGCCTTCAGGGAGGAGGTGAAGGCGAAGGCAAACCGAGTCACGAGGCCCGGTTTCCCGCCATGCCTCGAGGCGGCCCCATGGTTGCCAACTCTCACCTGAATGAAAATGGTCAGGTCGAAGGATGAGCCAAGCACCAGGATTGGATCGAGCGACCCAATCACAGCCGGTTGAGGGAACAAATGGGGTTGACATGAAAGCAGCTGCCACAGCAGAGCCAGAAAGATCATAAATCATCACTTTCCAGCCCTTCCTTTCCCTTCTTTCTCCGCCTTGTTCAACACGGCTTGGATTTGTCCAGGTCCCGACAATTGAATCAAGCTGAGTTGCCCTGTTATTTTGGAAAATATAAGTTAGAAAATATGCACCGCATTGCAAGTTTGAGTGAACTTTGAGTGTTAATCTATGATGAATACAAAGCAGAGGAATCAACACAAGGGGCCTGGCCTATGAAATATAAGTGGATGAAATATTGAATCATCTTCTTCATAAGTGACTAACAACATAAAATGTTCAAAACGAAAATCATCTTAAAAGCAAGATTTTTAAAAAGATAATTAAATAATGAATAGGGAAAATGATTTCACCCCCAGTCCGTTTTTCAAGCTTTTAGCTCCCCTTAGGCTCAGATGAACTAAAAACCTTGTCCCACTCAACAGTGGAGGAAAGATAAATACTCTGGAACAAATGCAGCAACAAAAGTATTGAGAATTTGAGTTAAAGGGCAACTACTGGTGTTAGAGAGGTGAGTATTAGTAGTGGAATAATTAGCTGGTGTAGGGGGAATTACATGGTGATGAAGGTTCCTTACACATTATAATTAATTATAAGTATAATAAAAAATATTCAGGAATTCGCCTGTGTATATAAGAAAATCAAATGAACTGATAGTAAAAGTTAAAAGAATCAAGTCTAAACAGTCAAACAAATGCATTTGAAGTTCTGAATAAATAAATAAATGCTGAGTTTTCTGGCATGCAAAATATTGTCGAAGGGTAACTTCAACAAGAAGTTTAGCAATATGCAGACAGCAAGTAAAAACTTCAAGGAAACAGAATGAAGTTACTTTATATTAAGTTCTGAATCTTGATGAGTGCATAATTTCCCTTGTCTATGTATAAACATCAATAAAACAAAGAATGAAAAGCTTCTCTTTCTTACCTCCTATCTTGGCTGAAGTTACAGCTGAAAATGGGCTGCCTCGAGTTTCCTTTAAGTTGAAATATCTGCGGACTCAAGGATGTCTCATCATCAAACTGGAATACGTATCTTGGGTCTGGATCTAGCTTTACTCTCAGATGCAGCTCCGGCACAAGCTTGCGGCCTTCCGGCTTGTTCTTCCCAAAGCTAATCCACCCACTATGAAGCAAAGTTGGCTTTGCCTCGCTCCATTCTGGTCCCACCTCCACCCTGAATGTCCCAATCTGCTGCTTCCTACCTGTAACACCACAATGAGAACCCTTCCTCCCCAAGTAAACAGCAATTTCAAGATATGGTTGGGCAGCCTGAAAGCATCCATGAGCCATCAATGCCTTCAAATCAGATTTCTCAAGGTAGAAGACTGTCGTGTTGCTGTGAGGAACTGGGCTAGCTTCAGGGGAGGATATAAGGGGAACAGATGCTGTTTGAACTGGGAAGCCTCGAAGGCGGATCTCACACAGACAAGAGGATAACGATAAGTAATTGGCACTTTGCCCAGCATTTGAAGTAGCTGCCACTGGGATTCTTAATCCCAGTGACCCAACTGACAACCTAACAAAAGCTTGGGGATCCATCATTCTCAAGAACTAGCGTTCATCTGGACAGGATAGAAAACATTGATGCCATTGGAATTAGGCTTCAGAAAGTACACAAACATAGCTTATTTAAAGAAGAAAAATGTATCAAGGCAGTGTTGAATACACCGGACCAAGAAGTGGAAACCAGAGAACGAAACAGAGAAAGAAACTAAGCTTTATTATTGTTATCTATAATCGTATTGTACAGTGTTCTATTTATAGGAAAATGACAGCAAGAAAGTACATAGCCCTAGTCTAACGGTCTTTAGGAAATCCAGTAAAGTGACGCCACGTGTATGGTGTCTAATAGCCCCCCTCAAACTGGCGGTTGCAGAGCAGCTGTGAGTTTGCTGGACATCAATTGAAACCGGATTGTAGGGAGAGCTTTAGTGAAGAAATCTGCGAGCTGGTCGGTAGTGCAGATATGATGAACCGTGATCTGTGTTTTTCCGAATATGCTCTCTGATAAAGTGACAGTCGACTTCGATGTGTTTAGTTAGGGCGTGGAAGACCGGGTTGTTGGCTAGTGCAATGGCGGATGTGTTGTCGCAGTATATTATTGTTGGAGCGTTTTGAGGTAGATGGAAGTCTTCAAGGAGGCGACGAAGCCATATGATTTCAGCTGTCGCGGAGGCGAGGGCCCTATATTCCACCTCTGTAGATGAGCGGGTGATAGTGTTTTGTTTCTTTACTTGCCAAGAAATGAGAGAATTGCCAAGGAAGTGGCAGTGACCGGAAATGGATTTCCGGTCTTGCATATTACTTGCCCAGTCAGCGTCCACATATCCATGTAGAGTGAGATTGTTTGGTTGCAGATTGATGCCAATTTGAGTGATGCCATTGATGAACCGAAGAAGGCGTTTGAGGGCGTCGTAGTGCTGGTTGAGCGGATGTTGCATATGTTGACAGAGTTGATGAACGGCGAACTGTATGTCCGGTCTTGTTAACGTGAGGTACTGCAGTGAGCCGATTAGATGTCGGTATAGTTGAGGATTATAAAATGGATCCTGAGAAGTGGGTGTCGTTGTAATCTTGCATGCTACTGGAGTTGACAAGGCCTTGGACTGACTCATTCCGGCACGTTCGACGATAGCCCGAGCATATGGATGTTGATGTAGTAGAATGCCGGTTTTGGTGTTGACTGCATGAATTTCCAAGAATTGATTTAATGAACCGAGATTTCGCATCTGAAACGTGGAATGTAAGTTAGACAAGAGTTTGTTGATCTCGGAACTTGAATTACCTGTAAGGAGGATGTCATCGACGTAGATAAGGATGTATAAGCGTGTGCCATTGGAGTTGTATGTGAGGAGGGATGGATCGGAGTTGCTGATTTGGAACCCGAGCTTGAGGAGGTGGTTTGATAGCATGGCATACCATTCTCTCGGCGACTGTTTTAGCCCGTACAGAGCTTTCTTAAGCTTGCAGACATAGTGTGGATAAGTGGAGTCTTGAAAGCCGGGTGGTTGTTTCATAAAAATGGTGTATGAGAGGGTACCGTTTAAGAACGAGTTCGAAATGTCAAGTTGATGAATGTCCCATTGGTAGTGTAATGCGATGAGGATGAGAACGCAAATTGTACTGATTTTGGCGACCGGGCTGAATGTCTCTGTATAGTCGAGACCGTGTTCTTGATCATACCCTTTGGCGACGAGTCTAGCTTTATATCTGTTTATGGATCCGTCCGCATTATATTTGAAACGAAACGTCCATTTGGAGCCGAGGACATTTTGAGTAGGATGCGGTGGTACCAAGTCCCAGGTTCCTTGAGCCATGAGAGCTTGAAATTCTTGGGACATTGCAGCTCTCCATTGTTCTGATTTGGCGGCTTGGAGATATGTTGTTGGTTCGTTGTGTTGAATTGTGTGAGCTAGATTGAAAAGTTTCTTTGGTTTGGAAATTCCGTGTTGTAGCCTTGTTACCATTGGATGAGTAGATTTCGGTATAATGGGTGAGGTATTGTCGGGTTGAAGGGAGCTCGTATTAGAGGTCTGTCGTAGTGGTGTGGTTGTTTCGTCAGGAACTGGAATTGTTGGTTGTGGGGTCTGTGGGGGCGGATGAGGATTAATTGGTTTTTGGTGATCTTTACACCGTGGAGAGCACGGTATGTTGGTGGGTACAAGGAGGAGGGGCGGTGTATAGGGAGGACTGTTGGTATTGGTTACCTGATTGTTTTGCGGTGATGAAAACGGAAAGATGCTTTCGTCAAATATAACATGACATGAGGTGTAGACTTTGTTGGTGGTAGGATCCAGACATCTGTACCCTTTCTGAGAACTAGGATAGCCTATGAAGACGCATGGTTGTGAAACAGGGGATAATTTGTTTGGTGATTGCAGCTTTAGCCACGGGTAGCAAAGGCTACTGAAGATTCGGAGGTAATTGTATTTCGGTGGCTGTTTATAGAGTAGTTCATATGGGGATTTAAATTGTGTATTTGGGGATGGCATACGATTGATGAGGTGGTTTGCCATGAGCAGCGTGTCGACCCAGAGGTATTGAGGTAGTGAGGCTTGGAGAAGCAGGGTCCGAGTTGTTTCGATCAAGTGGCGATGTTTGCATTCGGCGACGCCGTTTTGGGATGGAGTGTGAGGGCATGTGGTTTGATGTATGATGCCTTGAGATTGGCAGTAAGTCTTAAATTTACTGTTGATGTACTCCCCGCCATTATCTGTGCGAATTATGCGTATCTTTTTGTTAAATTGACGAAGTATAAGCTGAGAAAATTCAATGAATTTGTTAAGTGTTTCAGACTTATAAACCAGAGGAAAGATCCATGTTTCTCTAGTAAAATCATCAATAAAGGACACGTAGTAACTAAAACCGTTTGGGGAGACCACGGGGAAGGGTCCCCATACATCAGAATGCACAAGAGAAAATGGAGAAGTACTAATGGTTTGAGAAATTGGCTTATGTAGCCGATGGCACTTAGCCATTTTACAAGAGTTGCAGGTAGCGATCTTGGTAGGGACGGTGATGTTGTTGTGACGTCAAATGATTAGCCGCAGAACGTGAGTAGACGGGTGGCCTAGCCGGCGGTGCCATAGGTCGGGAATGTGCTGCACTGAAAGAAGAGCAAGCTGTTGAGTGTAGTTAGGTGCTGCTTTGAGAGGATAAAGACCGTCAATAACAGGACCCGTGAGAAGAAGCCGGTGGCTTTTCCGATCCTTGATTTCGTAGCCATTGGAGGAAAATGTAATAAGGCAATTGTTGTCAGTAGTAAGTTTGTGTACAGATAGAAAGATTAAATGCAAGGTTTGGTACGAGATTGAGATTTGCTAGTTGGAGGCTACCTGTTGGCGTCGGCAAGATACCTTTACCCGTGTTTTGGATTGGAAGCTGGTGTCCATTTCCTAGAACGATTTGATTTGTGCCTTGATATGGCTGAGATTGTTGTAACTGGTTGGGATCCGAGGTGAGATGGGCGGATGCGCCGCTATCAAGGAACCAGTCTATGGAACTGGTTTGAGATGGGGATGTGAACAGCGCGGATTTTGGTTCAGTGTTGTAGTCGTCATTGTGACGATGCCAACATTTGACGGCTGAATGGCCAAATTTGCCGCAGATTTGGCAGGTAATTTGCGGGCGAGGTTGTTTGTTGTTGCAGTTGTTGGTAGAATTATAGGAGAGACGAGTGTTAGATCTCCCGTGGTTCAACGAGTTGCGACCACGGCCGCGTCCACGGCTTGCTGCAAGTGCCGTGCAATTACCATTGAGCTGAAGTGATCGGAGATCTTTGGTGGTTTCGTGTGCAAGATTTAGTTCTTCGCTGCATAATAGGGTATAGAGCTTGTCTAGGCTTACCGACCGGAGATTTGTACGTATGGCGGTCTTGAAGGCTTGGTAGTTATTTGGAAGACCGTTTAGCGTGTAATGTATGATATCTTCAACCTCAACGGGTGCTCCGGCGGCGGCGAGGGCGTCGACCTTGGTTTTGACCTCAAGAAGATATTGAGTAATGGAGTTTTCCTTCATTGATAGAAAATGAAGTTCGTTTTTCAGCTGGCTGATTCTTGATCTAGTGCAAGATTGTAAACGCAGATCAAGAGTTTTCCAAATGTCGACACAGTGATCGAGCGACAGAACGTATGGGAGGATAGAAGGGGTGATAACAGAGTAGAGAGCGGCTGCGAGGTTTTGATCTATGAGTACCCAGGTGTCGTGGGAAGGATTGGTGGTGGTTTGGCCGGATTTATCGGTAATGAGGGGTGGCGGGCTGTTGATAGAACCAATCAAGAAACCTTCGTATCCATTAGCACGAAAAAGTTTTATGACTTGCGAACGCCAGAGAGCGTGATTTTCGGAAGTGAGGGGTTGTGTGATGACGTTTTTGATAGTTTGCATCAAAAATTTTAAAGAAGCAGGGATTTGAGTGGTAGAGAAAGTATCTGTGAAAGTGGTGGAGATGTCCGCCGGTGCTGGAGGAGACGAGGGGGAGGTGGCAGATGATATGGCTGTTGTTTGAGCCATTTGAGAAACCGGAGGATCTTTAGGCTCTTGATACCATGTTGAATACACCGGACCAAGAAGTGGAAACCAGAGAATGAAACAGAGAAAGAAACTAAGCTTTATTATTGTTATCTATAATCGTATTGTACAGTGTTCTATTTATAGGAAAATGATAGCAAGAAAGTACAGAGGCCTAGTCTAACGGTCTTTAGGAAATCCAGTAAAGTGACGCCACGTGTATGGTGTCGAATAGGAAGCACACAACAATCACCTTAATAGCACATACATGTATGATGTACACACAAACACACAGCTATGCATGTCCGTTCATAGAAATGGAGGGAAGGAGGCTGAGGGGGAGAGAGAGAAAGAGAGGTACAACAGTGAAAGTTGTAGTTAAAGTAGCATAGGTTTTTTTTTTGTTTCCTTCAAGCATCAAGTTAATAATAATAAGCCGATTACATTTACAAAACACAACATCCAAAGTTCCAAACAACCGTTGAGATCAGGATTCCAAGTACAAATTACTCGAGAAGTGTTTAAGTTCTTGTCTTCACTTTAACAACCATAG